TTTAGGAAAACTTTACTCGCATGGGAGAAAGCCAGTTCCAAAATGGTGTGATTGTTGAGTGCTGTAAAGTTGGTTCTGACTCATAGTGACCCTACAAAGAGTTTCCAAGGCTGTAAATCTTTCTGTAAAGGAGCAGAAAGTCTCATCTTTCTTCCACGGAGCAGCTGTTATGCTTGACCCACCAACCTGTGGTTCACAGTCCAGTACTTATTCTACAGAGCCACCATGCTCCCAGCTACATATATAGGATTTAGATTTACAACACATATTTTGGGGCGACACAATTCAGTCCATCTAGGCAAAGTTATTAGCACAATATCTAATACACATTAATGTTGTTATTATTTCAAAAACACCTTATGATCAAACTATTTGATCTTTGCTACATACACATTCTATCAATAAACTTTCCAGGTTTTATACTTCAAATCAGGTGACAAACAGAGGCATGAGTAGAGAGAGCACAACCTGAACACTTTGTATTCCAAACTTCTTTTGAATCTGTGGAGCACAATTCCCCACTCTACAACTGAACTAAGTGTTATTGTAAGTGCTGTCAAGTCAGTTCCAATTCACAGAAACCCTGTATAGAGTTTCCGAGGAGTCGCTGGTGAGTCTGAACCACTGACCTTGAGGTTAGCAGTCCAGTCCTTACCCAGTGCCACATTAGGACTCAACTGAAAGAAATGATAGTGGTGGTAGTGGTATGTCCCCAAGTCAGTTCTGATTCATAGCAACCCTGTAAATTTTTATGAGAACAGAAAACCTCATCTTTCTCCCACAGAGTGACTAGTAGGTTCAAACTACTGACCTTGTGGTTAACAACCCAGCTCGTAACCCACTATGCTACCAGGGTTTCCTGCCGAATCAAAGAGTGGCTGTATTTTAGAGGTGAAATGTTTCTGAGCTGCTCTGGGCAAGATACTCTACTTTGGTGTGGAAAGCATCGTATGTACTTGAGAAGAACACAGTGACCCTGGGAAGAAAACATCTTCCCCCGCCATTGTAGCACGTTGAAACTAAGACCTGATTCTCAAGTACTTCAAGAAGAACCTATTCTATGCTGCACCAAGAACATCACAGCACTTACTGTGCTTCTGAGGACTAAGAAATACTAACACAATATACACACAAATATTTTAAAATAAAATGTGAAGATCATTATTATTTCAAAACCTTGATATCCCTTGAGTGACAGTCTTTCAAAAGCAGGAACTCTGTAATTGACATGATCTCTTAGCAACAACTCTCAATCGACAATTCAAACCCACCAGCTGCTCCTTGGAAACCCTGTATAGGGTTGCTATGAGTCGAAATTGACTTGACAACACTTACCAACAATAAAAAATTAAGAATATAGCAATTAAAATTTACTTTATGGGATAATTATGCTCCATTTATGGAATCTTTTAAACAGTTGCTACCAAGACTAGCCTAATCTTCTCTATGGACTGATATACCTTTTCCTTCTCCTCCAAGGAGTCCTGGTATGGTGCTGTAGGAAAAGCACTGGACTACTAACCACAAGCTCAGCAGTTCAAACCCACCAACCACTCTGCAGGAGATCAGACTTTCTGCTCCTGTAAAGATATGCAGCCTTGGAAACTCCATAAGGATCTCACTATGAGTCTGAGCCAACTGAAGGCATCTAACAACAGTAACTCTTCCATCAAGTAATATTAGAAAGTAAAACTACCCAAAATTAGACAGGTAAAGAAAAATGGAAGGAGAAAAATTTAGAAAATCCACAAAATAAATTAGCAAGTGAAATGTCAAGAATTCACTACATTTGAAAGAGTTAGCTGTACACACTCTTAGTACCCAGATTGTGATTTCCAAACAGCCTCCTCCACTAATGGAATCAGACAAAATGGCTGGTTTCAAGACTGGAGCAAGAAAAGATCAAGATGTAGCCTGGAACACCTTGTGCTAAAAAGTAAGGAGGAGCTCAGTGATAATAAGAGCCAGATCGAAGACAGGCCAAGACAGGGACAATCGGCTAATGATAATAATGATGGGAATGAACTATAACCTTCTGAATAAAGTAAGAATCAATGAGTCCACAGTAATATACAAAATGATGAAATAAATGGAGGAGAGGAGAAATAGAAAGCTCTTCCTTGCTGTAGAAAGCCAATGAATAAATGTAAAAGGAACAATTGAATTAGAAAAATCAACTTTTGCCAATCATCATAAAAATAACTAATTTGGGCAACAATCATCAATGCATGCTATACTAATGAATGAAAGTTTGAGAAGTAACAGGATCATATTCACAATCTCAGAGTAAATTCCCACGAGAAATAAGATTCACAGTGTAAAAATCTGGCAGACAGCACCTAACCCACGGATCAAAATTAGCATTGTCAGTAATGACACTGCAGTACAGTGAATTATTTCATGTTTATTCTAGTCGTAGTCTTTGTAACTCCCACCAAATGACTTCTTCCTGGTAAGTCTGGTTAAGAGGTGGTGAAAGGTGCCGAAGGACTACAGGATTCAGCTTTGAGTGACTATTAACAGGGCTAATTGCAACTATAAAAACTTGGAACTCTAATGTTTGATCAATTTTGCCATGAAACTGGGCACAACATGAGCCATTTCAGAAGCACAGAGGAGAATCTCAATTATCATAAAGAAAGAAGACCCAGAAGTAGAATACATCCTTCGGGGTCTGAAATCCCTGTGTATAGAACCTCCTCAATCCAGGGACAGAAAGCTGTGCCACCAGAAAAGTAGAAGAGAAGTGGCAGCAGCAGAACCAAGAGCCAGAGCAGTAGACTTCCTGGCCCATGGAACAAGTAAAGGTGAGTACCTTAAGGCCTCAGGAAGCTTGCTAATTGAGTAGGGTAGCTCCAAGAACTTAATTTGGGAAAGTAGGTTTGCTGACCCACAGGATTAGAGCTGAGTGCCCTCAGACTAAAGTTTACAGTGGAGTAGGGTGCTCTTTGGACATTCCTTGTTACTGTTGTTAAGTGCCGTCAAGTCAGTTCTGACTCATAGCAACCCTTCATAGGGTTTCCAAGGAGCTGCTCCTGAGCTTGAACCGCTGATCGTGCGGTTCAAACAGACCTTGCAGTCCACCTCATTAATCCGCAGTGCCACACCAGGACATTTATTGGCAGCCCTAAAAGAGCTTTCTAATATTGCCCGAGCAGGACGGAAGACAAGGGGCCATGTGACTGCGAGGCTGAGGACCAGAGAGTGGTATGCCTTCAGGCACGGATGAGGAAAGGCTGTCCTGAATAGAAGAACTGTGCCCTGAGCATTTCTGATCCTGTGAATACTCTAATAGTAAATATTGTCTGTGAGTTCTATGGGGTCATTGCAATGAATTTCGAACCTAGAAGAGAAGCAGACAGTGCCTTGGAAGGGACAGGTGGTGTTAGAACTGGAAAAGAAGGTTGGAGAGTAGGGAAGCATATTTGACCTCTGCCTCATAGGAACTGGTCTTGGATTGTTGCTGATGGTGACTTCTTCCACCTCATTTGTGAAGTTAGAGCAGATGAGATGCTGCCTCCATGCTGCTATTACAGAGTTTGTGCCTCCGAGTCTGATGGCCTGAAAAGAACTCATTTTCATGTCTATGATTCCTAATCCCATGAGGAGCATTCTATAAAATTGCTGGCCTGTACTGCTTAAAAGGAATCCTGTGTGGCACTGTGGGTTAATGCGCCAGACTGCAAACCCATTTGAACGGCAAGGTCAGCAGTTCAAGCTCACCAGTCGCTCCTCAGAAACCCTATACAGGGTCGCTATGGGTCGAAACTGACTTGACAGCACTTGACAACAACAAAAACAACTGCTTAAAAGGAGTCCTGGTGTGGCACTATGGGCGAATGTGTCAGACTGCAAAGTCCTTTTAACTGCAAGGTCGGTGGTTCAAGTTCACCAGCTGCTCCTTAGAAACCCTATATAGAGTCGCTATGGGTCGGAATCAACTCAATGGCACCTAGCAAACTGTTTAAAACATCAATGTGATAAAATCTATTGAAAGACTCAAGAAATGATTAAAGGAATTGAATCTAACACATGGTCTTGGATTTTCTTAAACTGCTGGTGGTGGCAGTTGGTTATGTGCCGTGGAGTCGATTCTGACTCATAGAGACCATGTATAGGGTTTCCAAGGCTGTAAATCTTTATGGAGCTGAAAGTCTCATCTTTCTCCAGTGGAATTGCTGGTAATTTCTAACTGTTGATGAGGTTAGCAGATTGACTTGTAACCACTATCTGAGCATTATTGGGAAATTAACAAAATATCAATATGGTATGTAAATTAGATAACAGTACTGTTGAGCACTGCATTGCTAATGACAAGGTTGGCAGTTCAAATCCATCAGTTGCTCCTTAGAAACCCTATACAGGGTCATTATGAGTCAGAACTGACATGAAAGCAATTAACAACAGCAACTGTTTTGATATTAAGTTCCTGATTTTGATAATTTTACTAAGTCCTGGTGTGGCGCTGTGGGTTAATGCACCAGACTGCAAACCTGTTTGAACTGCAAGGTCGGCAGTTCAAGCTCACCAGCCACTCCTTGGAAACCCTACACAGGGTCGCTATGGGTCAGAATCGACTCGATGGCAATTAACAACAACTGTGGTTCTGTAAAAGATTCCTTGTTTTTAGGAAATACACACTGAGATATGTAGAGGTAAAGGGCAAGAGGCATCACATCTGCCGCTTACTGCTAAGTGGCTCAAAAAGATGATTGATAACATAATAAAAACAAAACTCCCCTACTACCATCAAGTTGATTCTGGCTCATGACCACTCGACATGTTACAGAGAACTGAGCTCCACACGAATTTCTTAGGTGGGATCTTTGCCGAAGCGTATCACCAGGCCTTTTTCCACAGAGTCGCTCGGCCCAACTTTTCAGTTAGTAGTTGAAAACTGTTCCACCCAGGGACCTACTTATATTACATTTGCTTGTTTTTTAAATACATTCCCCCCCCCCAAATATATATAAAACAAAATGATGATGAAAGTCTCATACCTTGCTTTAGAAATTCTATAAATTCCCTTACAGTTTGGTTCAAATTAATTCCGTGATAAACCATAGGTTTGAAATTGCGGTGCTCAAATGAACGAATGAGGCGAACTGTAATGGTCACTTCTTCAGAAGCCATGTGAAGAAATTCCTGTGGCAAGAATTAGAAGTACAAGAGATAAAAGATACCAACAAAGCCAGTTCACAATTATATATATACATACTACTAGCCTGGATTCCCACCATCAGCTCTAGGGCCCCCAGTCTCCTTTCTACAATGCTCTAACTTTATAGACAGAATCGCAAACCCAGGCTGGATTCCTGGGCACCCAAAAGTTCCAAGGTTATCCCAACTGACCCACTGTGATCCCAGACAAGTCAGTCTGTCACTAGTCACTGACAATGTAACAAACAAAAAACTGGCAAGACATAGAAGATGACTAACAGTGACACAGCCAAACAAAGATCTAGGTCATATGCAAGGCGCTCCAGAAAGTTAGTGGCAAAATGGAATGAAAAGCTAGTGGAATTTTTCCATGAACTTTCTGAAGACCCTTTCAAATATAAAATTGCTTTGTACTTTCTACGCTCAATTGGCCCTGAAATGGAATTATGTTAATATTAAAATAAACTATCAACAGATTTCATTTTAATCTCACAAAATGCTGCCAATCTCAAGTGTTAATTTAATTATGTGGCATGGTTTTACCCATCTTTTGCATTATTATTTAATTTGAATCTATATATTTCATCCTAAAGTATGTATTAGTCCTATGTGCCAGGTGTTTTAAGATTCTATCTCAATTCTCCCCCAAACTATGAGGTACTCATATTAAATATGTCGAAACAAATTCCATAAAGACCAGATAAATTACCCATAGTCATAAAGCTGTAAATAACAAAGCCAGAATTCAAGTATCAATTTAATTCCAAAGCCCAGGCTCTTTCTAATATACTCTCTGAAAATCACCCCAAATTACTTTCTAAAAAAATCTGCAAAGTTACCAATGATTTAAAGATTCAATAGCTGTAAGTATCATCGAGTTAATTCCAACCCTGTATAGCATTTCCAAAGAGCGGCTGGTGAGTTTGAACTGCTGAGCTTAAGTTCAAACCGACCTTGTGGTCCAGTGCTTATCCTACAGTGCCACACCAGGACTCCAAAGATTCAATTGTATACTTATATCCAATAGTAGCTACTTCAGACTACTTTCAATTTAATTTTAGATACAATATGCAACCATAAAATATAACAATAAATATTAAGAAAAAATACCTATAGTACTAACAAACAAGATTTTTAGCCTCATTATTGTTAAGTGCTGTCGAGTTGGTTCCAACTCATAACAGCCCTTTATGGGATTTCCAAGCGACTGGTGTGTTTGAACCACTGCATTTAGTCATTGTTTTTGTTAACTGCTGTGGCACCATCACCAGCTACTGATGCTCTCCAAGTTTGAAGCCTTGATGTGGTGAGCCTCACCAGTGTCTGATGCCTTGGCACCTGGATTCAGACTGGCTCTGCAGAAGACCTATAGAACCCACGCAGCAACCAGGCACAAGCCCTAGACTAGCAAGGAATCTCATAACCAGCTACCCTGCCCCTAATGCCCTCTGGTTCTGACAGAGACTGATCCCACCTCCTTAAAGACCTACATGAACTACTTTTGGATTGTTGTTGGTGTTAAGTGCTGTTGAGTCGGTTCTGACCCATACCGACCCGGTATAGGGTTTCCAAGGAACAGGTGGTGAGCTTGAATAGCCAACCTTGCCATTCAAAACGACTTTGCAGTCCAGCGCATAACCCACAGTGCCATACCAGGACTACTACCTTCTGGACTGGGGACCCTTTTTTTCTGCCAAGAGCCAGTGGATATTTATAACATCACTTAATACAAATTTATATTACTACAAAAAAAGCTCCTAGAATTAATTGAATTTTGAGTCGTGCCTGCATTTGCCTTGGCAGGACCAGACAAAATTATTTCACAGTATTATATGGCCTGCTCCTCAGAAACCCTATACAGACTCGCTATGAGTCAGACCTAATTCACTGACACTTAACAATAACAACATAAGGACCGCAGGTCAGATGTTCCCCGGCCCTGGTCCACAGGAACTCCATCTAGGGCTGGAAATCCTGCCACCTCGTCCCTTCCCCACCGACCTCCTGATCTCTTTGGCAGGAAGGAAACTGCCCAAGTTTTCTCTTTAAGCCCAGCACCTGCACTGGCTTGTGTTTTTTGGTTTTGTTTTTTTTTTAGTCTGTTTGTTTGTTTGTTTTGCTTTCATTCTCTCATTGTTTTTGTTTGGTTGGTTATTCTTTCTTTTTTTCCCCCTTCTCTTGTTTTTTTTCTTTTTAATCTTTTCTATTTCCACTTGGCCTTGTCTTCTTTTCTTCTGTTGCTCTATTCCCATCTTCTTTTTTTCTTTACTACTCTTTCTTTTTACATCTTCTCTCTCACTATGTTAGTGTGTTAAAATTTTTGTCTCATTTTCTTTTCCCATTGCTTTCCTATCTCTTGTTTCTCTTTTTAATTATTATATATTTTTTCTAGCTGCTCCCAGTGCTTTTTCTTTCTGCTCCTGTATAAATTTATTTTTTGCTGTTGATTGTTTGTTTTCCAGTGTGTAATTTTTTTTTCCTCTTCTTGCACCATCCAATGCAGGAAACAGCAACCAGGCAATAAAGCCCAGACAAAACCATATCCTCTGCAACTCTACCCATTTGACAAGAGCCAACCAGCTCCTATACCACCTGATCAATGATAGACAGCAGTCAACAACAGCCAAATCTACCCTAAATTGAACTACAAGAATGGAAAATTGTACACGGTTCCATTCTCTGATCACACCCACCAAGAGGCAGCTGGTGAGAGCCTAAGAACACAACAACGTACAATCATCAATTAAATAAAAATACAATAGCATCACAATGTCTTAGAGACAACAGATAAGTTCACACAAAGAAACAAGAGAGTGGTTCAAACAAAAGACCAAGACTCAGAGCCAAAAAATGATCCTGAGGAATAAAAGGTAATGAAACTACCTGATAAAGAATTCAAAATAATGGTACTTAGGAACCTTCAACAGATTGACAGAAAGATCAAGGAAAACATTTAAGAAGAGAAAACAATACAAGAACAAATGAACAAAAAAAGAGAGAAATTTGAAACAATACAAAACCAGCAAATAGAAATCCAGAAGATGAATACTAAGATTTTAGAAATAGATAATACACTGAAAAGGCAAAGGGATAAATTTAAACCAATGGAAGCCCAAAGTAATGAGTTTGAAGGTAAGTGTATCAATACTAGTATGCGTGGAGTGCAGTGGCTCCATATGATAAACACGGGATTGGAGTTCAAGCCCACAAGCCACTCCTCAGGAAAAAAATGAGGCTTTCTTCTTCCATGAAGATTTAAAGCCTCAGAAACCCTATACAGGGCTGCTTTGAGTCAGAGCCAACTTGAGGGCACTTAACAACAACATTAACTAGTATACTAGAAGAACAATTAGAAAAAAGAAGAAGAAAAATCCAAAGAATGCCTAATATTTATGTGGGATACCATGGAGAGGAATAAGTTACAGGTGATCAGATTTTCAGAACAGGAAGACAATAAAAAGCACATAGAAAATTTTCGAAGAGTTGTTGGAAGAAAATTACTTAACGTCATGAAAGACAAGAAGATAAGTATTCAAGAAGGATAGATCCCAAAAAAACATCATCAAGACACATTATAATCAAACCCTCCAAAACTGAAGACAATGAAAGGATTCTGAGAGCAGCTCCAAAACTGAAAAGTTAGATACACAGGAGAACCAGTAAGATTAAGCTTGATTTCTCAGCAGAAACCATGCAGGCAAGAAGACAATGGGATGACATATATAAAACTCTGAAAGAAAAAAACTGTCAACCATGAATCAAATATACAGCACAACTGTCCCTCAAATATGAGAACAAAGTTAGAATGTTTCTAGATAAACAGAAAATCAAGAAATTTATAGTAATCAGACCAACTTTATTTTATAAAATAAAAGGAGTTCTTTGGACTGAAAACCAACAACAGAAGACAAAACCCTAAAATTAACATATACATCAATGTCACCCAGAACACAATCCAGATATAGCAGTAAAACAAACCTACAAGACTGAAGATAGGGAACGAGAAATACCAATTTATAATGAAGACAACTAAAAGCAAAAAGAGGGAATAGTGTAGTTACAGAATTTCCAAATGAGGGGTAAATCAAGTAGATTTCAACACAGAATAGACTGTTTCATACTGAGAATAAATAAATAACTTCAAAGACAATTAATATACCTTCATATAAAAAAAGAAACGAAAAAGAAAAAAAAAACATAGAAATTTGGTAAACATTAAAACAACAGTAATGAAGAAAATGCACCAATAAAAAGAACTCAGCACAGAAAATTGTGTGGAACAAAGAAACTAACAGCACCACACACACACACACACACACAAAAAATCACACAGCAAAATGACAGCAATCAATTCATACCTGTTAATAATGACAATGAATTAAGTATGCCAGTAATGAAGCACAGAACAGCAGAACAGATAAGAAAACAGGAGCCTTCAATATATAGTCTACAAGAAACACACATTACACACAAAAAGAAAAAATAGATTAAAAATCAAAAGATGGAAAAATATATCAAGTAAATGGCATTGAAAAATGAGCAGGATTGGCAATATTAATTTCTGATAAAAATAGGTTCTTTGGCAAAAACCAATATAAGAGAGAAAGTCATTATATAGTAATTAAAGGGTCAACATAACAAGAAGACATAACCATAATAAATAGCAATGAAAGAGCCTCAAAATACATCAATCAAAATCTAATTGAATTGAAGAAAGAGACAACTCTATAATAATAGTAAGATATTTTATACACCACTTTCCATGAAGGACAAAACAACTAGAAATAAAACTCAACAAAGAACTAAACAATACAATCAACAAACTTGACCCCACATATTGATAAAGACTTACTCAACCCAATGCACATAGAACATTCTCCAGAACAGACCAGAACAGGCCACAAAGCAAGTCTTAACATACTACAAAGCATCTTCTCAGATTAAAGAACACAAGCTGTTGAATGTAAAACTGATGATCTTGAC